CAGAAGGGCCAATGTCCACCCGTTTAAAAAAAAAAAAAAAAAAAAAAAAGACAAGATTTGTCAGGAGGTCAAAATCAATAAGGTTTAGTGTTGGTTAAGTCGTGACAATATTTTCACCTCTTTGAAGGCTTCCCTGAACTCCCCACCAGGAGCCATGCCGAGCTGCTCAGTGATGTGAGCAGAAACCTTGAGCAGGAGAATCTGCATCAGGCCAGACATCACGCCATTCTGACAAACACAAAGAAACAAATGCAATTGAGATACTGACTCCAGTTGACAGCACATTTTACAAAAGCTGCTTTGCCAAAACGACATCGCGTGAAAACTGCATTTACACTACTATCTTGATTCGCGCATGCAGTAAACACACTTTTTATTCTTTGCATTCGTAACGTTAATCCATATGGTGGCTGTGAAGATGGTAATCACTACGTAATTAACAAAAATATCCTATGAATCCAGCAGCCTTAAATGCCCAAGAACTCGGCATTGAAGAAAACCGACAACAAGGAATGCATTTTTGGTGTGTTCTTTTTCAGTGAAGAGGAGAAAATGCACTTTTTCTATTTGGAAAATTGCTTGTGACTGAAAAACCCCCCAAAACAAGACAACTGGGAAAAATGCCCAATAAACTGTATGGATTGTCCTTTGCTCTATGAAAGTCTCACCTGTTTGATGGCCTGCTGGACCTTCTCAAGGTTAATCTCTTTGGCTTCCCTCAGCAATGTGTTCTCATCCAGCTTCAGCATGGACACCCTGTACTGGCACAACTCCACAACAACCACATCTGGTTGCACAGCACGGATCGTCTGCAGCAGAGTAAAAAAATCGAATAAGAAGCAATACAGACGGGCCAAGAGGAAATAATAGAAATGTTTATTGACAGAGGAAATGAATATAGTCCCAAAAAATGATGGCTTGCAAAGTCTCAAAGTAAAATAGGCTCACCGAAGCCACGTCCCGTTTGCTGCTGTCACTGAAGTGGGCAGTGCCCACTAAGTACAGAAGGCTGCCATCAGGGGAAATAAGACGGGTCACTGTCTCTGGTAGGTCAGGTGATGACTGGCGACGCTGGCCTCGATATTTCCAAAGCAGTTCCATTGCTTCACTGTCCGCTAGAAACAGATGACTTAACACTTAGCTTGAATGTCTCATCATATTTTCATTTTATTTACTATCAGCATGGAACCCCTCAAGAGGACATTCAACTCTCCCATATATGCCACATACTGTATGTATTGTATGTAGATACCAGAACAGAACCCACATATATAGAAAAACAAGGAGACATAAATGTTCAGGCCATAAATGTCTTTTCAGAGTTCTCACAGGTAGATTTGCATGAAGAACAAATACTGTTTTGAGTCAGACCTCGGGGATGCTGAAATAACCTCAACAAAAATGGAAAGTTAGAGATACCTCTGGCTCCACAGTTCATGCCTGATTCTGTACGTTCTACTCCTTATCACGGTTGCCACAGTTACCTTGAAAAAGTAAATTGGTTAATTTATTGACTACTTGATTTTAAAAGTAACTAAGTTACCTTTATAGTTACATTCAGCAGATACCGACAACCATGCTAAACATAAAATTAATACCTAGATTTGCCACTTAATTGGAAATGCATTTTTAACAGTGACATTTAAGAATAATGTTTTTTGTTTTTTATATAAAGAAAACCTTTTTGACTTATCATAATTACTTTGAGTAAAACAAAGTGAGTCTTATGGATTTCACTTAAAATTAAAAAAAAAAAAAAAAAAACAAGAGTCTTTCAAGACTAAAATCAAGGCACTCTTTTTTTTTCCTTGCCATATTTAACTCTTACTATTGTAAAGGCAAAGCTCAACATTTCTAATGTACATTGTTTATAAGTATAATGATTAAATGTGGGCCTCCTGGACTCACACAATCTGGTGTGACTCTCTCGTTAAGCTTGAATGCGTACTGCACTGGGATGCATGTTTTTTTGGTTTTTTTCGTAATGAACTTTGCTGAAAATAGTGACTGTACTTCCAGCTTGAAAACACAACTGTCTCTCTTTCCTGTTTATGAACATGTGCCTAGTCCATGCTCGGAAAACGATGATGTCACAATGTGAATTTGAATAATCCCACAATACCTTCATGTTAAAGCTGCAAAGACCAGTTTCCCTTCCTTTCATATTATATGATGCGCATTGATTTGTTTTGTGACTTTAGTGAGTACTATAATGTTAGGAATCGGGGTTTTTTTCTGTATTTTATAGTTACTTGTACGTGCGTGAGAGATAACCATGGGTGAGTCGAGTATACTGTTCACTAAATTCTTCCTTGCGTTTGCCACTCGCAGGACGTGAGTTGCAACTGTTTGGGGAGTAAATGGACAGTGCTTTGAAAGATCAGTTGACACATGTAAGAACTGATATACAGTAGTTATCAATATAACTACAACTGACAAAATGATGAAGTGGTATCTTTTAAAAAGGTTAGTTTCTGGGTTACAAAAAACTACAAACCAGCAAACACAGATGATATCTTTGGAAGAGAGGTTAAAAAGTCGAATCTTACAAATTCCTGGAGGAAGAGAAAGTGGTGCCATTTCTGAAGGATCCTCCAATCGTCCCACAGACTGGTCCTGTGACAAGTTATGTGAGAGCTTAAAATCGAGATGAAACTCTACAGTAGTCACAGGTCTTTCCAGTTTGACTGCAAGTGTGTGTGTTTTTTTTTTATATTTGTTTTGTTTTTCAGCAAAGAATCATTGGTGTTTAGCATAGCATCCGTTTTAAATAGCGAACACTTAAAGATACCTATCTGTCAGCATGGCAGAATACACACTTTTATATATATTTAAAAGAAAGGAAAGATATATACACAAACCTCAGAATTGTTGTCTTGGTCCATACTCGAAGCTTTCCAAGCTACCCGTGACAAGAGAGCAAAATTAATTTGAATTTAAAAAAAAATTAAAGTTGAGACGACAGTGTCAGTGAAGCCTGCGCCTGCTGACGTCGCTTTACAGTTGAACGACAGTAATGTTGACGTATGTGTCCACAGCTAACAGCCAACGATGGGCTGTTCTAACTCGTTTCGTATTGTTACGAAAAGGAATACATGAGATTTACTGAAATAATGGCGACAACGAAACTATCAGCCTAAAACACGGAGGTCGCCAAACGAACTACAAAGCTTAGCTAGCTGAACACTCAGCATTTTTTCGGTTTCAGAAGCAGAACGATGATAGCCGACTGCGTACAACACGCTAACACCAGCCGGCATGCCAACAAGTCCAAATTGTCAAGTAATTCAAAGAGAATAAACGTGTATCCAAAACATATATAATTACCACGACAAAAATTATTACTACAAGGCACATACGCCAAACATAACGCACTTACACTGAACAAACCAAGCAATTTGTCGCTACTATTGCAGCAGTGCCTGACGGTCGAGTGTGGCGCGGTGCAATGTGGGTATTGTAGTCATTGATGGGTCACCAAGATGCAACTTTAATTCAATAATTTTAATTTGTTTTCTGTCTATCATTTTACAGTCACCAATGTGATTACATCTCCACATGACCGCTTGCATTAATACCTGCCATTTAATTAATTCCGTACCACAGTCTAAATGTAATTTCAATTTGTACATATGATAGCAATGACTTTTGAATTAGGTGTATCCGTGCAACAAGTCTCATTAAATTGCTTTTTGATTTGTAGGATCGTAGAATTAAAAGTTGGCTTTATGTCTCTTGTGATAAACGTGTACTGTATATGAGTTTTTTCCCCCTCATTGTACTTAGTGTAACGTGCTACTGCAATGGAGCTTACTACAAATTGAAATTCCAAGTGAAAAATTCATCATTTTCACCTCCTTGGTCTTAATGATCTGGCGATTGTTAGCATATGAAAAAGGTTGCAGCATGGAAACAAATTTAGAAGACATGTACGGCCACTTAGCTCTTTTGTTGTTATTCAATACATGATCTCTCATTTATGGTGTGAAAATATACTTGTTTCAAGTGCTCACACGTAACCCTTATATGTGAAGAAATGTGAATGGCAAAGCCAGGATGCACTTTATAGCTTAACACTACACAAACATCATATACAGTCCCATGTATGTATGATGTATAACGTACTGAGACATACAGTATGATGTGGTAAGCGCATTATTGCCACAAAATTGTCATCTTTTGCATATTTACTTCTGCAGGTCAAAGACTGTATTGCGTGAACTACCTTTCTACTTGTCTATTGTAATAAAGGGACAAAGCGATACATGAATTACCGGTAATCTTTTTTAAAGACAATGCAGTCCTCTTTGCAGATACTGTATGTTTTAAGAAAGATCACTCACTCTTTATAGTCATTCATCCAATCATCCTAACTGTTTCACCCCTGCCCCGTAGCACCCTGTTGAATTTGATCACTGCTGGTTTCATTGGTGGGTGATGAATTGTACACAGTCATCCTGAGATATGAATGCGACATCGTTTCCTACAGTAATACTCAGCTCAACATCACCACATACGCAAACTTGTCTCAAAGTCAATTCGGCGGTACAGTTGTACCTCACTCAAACGAGCCAGCATAGAAGAGTGTGAGAAGAGTAGACATGGTTGACTTAGTGCTCATGTGTGCCGAGAACTGCAGTGTTGACTAGAACAGAATCAGGGAGGAAGTCCATCAGAATTTCTATCTTCCTTTAACATTCCCCTGCAACAATGAGTTCCCCGGGTCGCCCTGCAAGCCTGTCTCTACGGTTTTCCTCCTCCTCTTCTTCCTCAAAGAGAGTATGATGAATACTCAGCAGCTGGTGTGTAGGGGCTCTGGTGAGTGTTGGTGGCTGAGACTCAAGATTCTCCACCTGTGTGACAGGCTCCCTTGGAGGAGGAGATGGTTTGGGACTGAGGGGATCCTCACTCGATGGTGGGTTGGGGCTGCCACCATTGACATATGTGCTGGTAGGCAGGGTCACTGTTGAAAAGGCAGTGGTTGATTCTGGAGAGCAAACTTTGTTCTCTGGGAAAAAAAAAAATCAACATATAATTTATCCTTTGTACAATATTTACCAAATTAATTTTGGTATTTTATACATTTGTTAGGCGCTTATCCTGATTTAGCTTCAAAGATGGACGCTGGGTATCCATAAATGGGACACTGAGTTGGGATTAATCCAATGCTTGCAGGTACCTTAAGGTCAGTCATTTGAAACAGTACACTGCCAAAGCGCCCCCCACATCTTGCGATTCTGTTCTGTCCAGCTATACCTGGGTTTCGAACACCTGCCGCCACTGTCTGACCGGTTGAAAGTCGAATGCACTAACTGCTAGGCTACAAGCTTGTGTAACACGTAAATTACAATTCCCTATTAACTCCTTCTCTGTTAACTAGAACCCTGAACCTCTTCACTTCAAGATTTGCAAAAGTACCGTACTCAAGGATTAAACCAAATTGTATTGCTTGGTGATGGAAATAGGGATTCATAGATTTCTAATTGTAATAGCATACAACAGTTTTCCGGCCCTCTGATGAGAGTGCGGGTTTAAGAGTCTTACTTTTCACATTCTGAGGTTGGAGCTATTTATATTTGATTCTTATCTGAAGAAGTGACCTGAAGAAACGTACCTGTAATTGCACTGGAAACGTGAACAACAGTGTGTGTGCCTTCAAGGTATACAGTATCCATGTTGTGCTCTGAGGGAAGAGGGTCTGTGGTTGTGATCTCCACCTTTGGTTTACGAATGGTCAGCATGTATGGGTGAACATCCAGAGAGAAGTTGCGAGTGTGCTTTTTCTCCATCCCGCTTAAATCTACAAGGACACGAAGATGTTGATAAGATCTCAGAAATGTTGTACTCAGTGATACGGCATTTCAATGGTCTTTCTCCTTCTGTTTTATAGATAAACTATGCCAATGTGACTCAGTCTCTCAGTAGCCCTCTTAATCTCTTGAAGAAGGAAATCGATCTCATAGTCGGATGCAGGGAACCCCTAGCCCAAAGTAACAAACTACATACTGTAATTCCAAGATAGACCATCAGGCCCGGAGCTGGTGTAGAACTCTACACTTCAGATGTTTAATTTGCATGGAAATATTCATGTCGCCGTTTTCCAGAGTATTTTTTTCTCATTAGGGTCACAGGTGAGCCAGGCTGCTTTGGGCGAGAAGGGAAGTACACCGTAGGGCAGTTGCCAGTCAAACACAGGGCACATGTAGACAAACACAATCACATGCACCCATGGACAACCTAGAGTCATCAATGAACATAGCATGCCTATTTTTGGAATGTGTGTGGAAGCTGGAGTAGCCAGAGAGAACCTGGGCAAGATAGGCAGAACTGTACTGCCCTGTGTGAAAATATGAATCGAAAATATTTGAACAAAACTGAATACCTTTTGTTGCAGGATACTGTGTGCTCTTTGTATCCAGAAGTGGCGCAATGAAACTGTCTGCTACCGTCTTTCGTCTGAGAGGTTTGGGTTTTTCGGGCTTGGCATTATTTTCCAAACGTGTCAGAGTAAGAGGTTCCTTCACAGAAGAAAAACAACGGGCATTATCAACAGCATAAAGCAATGTATAAAGTAATGTTGATGTCGTTTTGTTAAGTTGTATTTGAATCTCTACTTGTGAACTCTTGTCAAGTTTTCAAGGTCATTAGACATCCGTTTCCCAACTTACTTTGAAAGACTGCGGAAGAGGATTAGAGGTTGGGATCCATTTAATCTTCTTGCGGGGTCGTTTGATGACAAGCGGCTCAGAAGGCATCTCTCCCACTCCGAGATCAGAGGGATCCATGTTTGGATCTATTGTTTGGATCCCAGAGTCCCTCACAGTGGGTGTTGCATCGTGGTTGGACTGTGCTAGAGCAGCCAACAGCTGTCGTACCACATTATCATACATGAGGTCGCTCTCATTGGTGATGAAGTCAAGCCTGTTGAGGGACTTGATGTGATCTCTGTTCTCATTACAAAACATGGCCAAGATGTTGATGTCACAGAACTGAGACTTCTGCCAACGACGTCGTGTCTTGATACCCACTTTATGTAGCTTGTCAAATACAAAGTTGGACTTACGCACGACAAATAAATGCAGCAAATTAAGCAGGATAATAAGGTTCATGGTGCAGAGCAGAGCGATATCGACTGCTGCCATGATTCGTTGCAGCTGCACAGCAGGCAGCTTGCAGTTGACCCGAAGCTTGAGCTCGGAATAACTACTAATGTCCGGGAGCTCACCAAGAGCACAGGTAAATTCGTTCTGTCTTTGTCGGGCATAGTAAGCGCTCAGGTAGGAAATAGGGATGGAACTGAGGCAGATGATAGCCAGGTGGCGTGCCAAGTAAATCTTTGCCAAAAAGTTACTTTGGCCTCGTCTTTCTAAATATTTCTCAAAAAGGTTTTGCTCAGGACTCTTCTCTTTCTCTGCATTCTCAATGATCTCTCTTCTCTCCCTCTCACTGATGCCAGGTCCTTTGGATTGAATCTGCTTCTCAATCTTTGGGGCGCGGCCCTCAGCAGCTCTGTGATAGCAGTTATCAATCTCTTGAAGCAGGAAATTGAGCTCTGACGTGAGCCGGGTAGAGGCAAGAAACTCCCAACCCAGAGCGGGGATGTACATGATACCAGCAAAGGCCAGAAGGGCATAAGGTAGAAACTTGTGCTCAAATAGTGAAGGCCAGAGGTGAGACTCCACACCAGGTGCAGCATCACGCAGCTCTGTCCAGCAGTAGCCTCTTGCGTACAGTGCCTGGTCTCTGGTGAAGTTGTGTGGTGTGTAACAGTATATGGACTCCTCTGAGGGTAGAAAAAGACATAAGCAACACTAAAAAAATTTCTTGCAATAACTGGGATTCACTGTATAGCTACTTTTACTTGATGGTACCCATCCATCTGTTTTCTACATCGCTTGTCGCCGTTAGGGTCACGTTTGAGCTTGAACTTATCCCAGCTGACCCTGGACTGGTCTTCAACTCCTACCAATTGCAGGATTTTGCTTTTATGTTATTTAAATGTGTGAACAGTCTAATTTCTTTATCAACGCCATCACTCCAGAGGGCACATTCATCACATTGCTTGTCTGTGTGTGTGTAAAAATGTCATTGTAGTTGAACATTTTATCACATATCTCCAGTGCATCGTCAAAATTAGGGTTGCCACCAACAATATCAATATATATAAGTTTTGTGATGTTTCAGGTAGTGTGCCGTGAGATTTTACCAATATAAAATAAGTTCGTTGGCTAAATCAATATTGGAAACATCCATCCATTTATCCATCCATCCATCCATCCATCCATCCATCCATCCATCCATTTTCTGATCCGCTTATCCTCACAAGGGTTGCGGGGTGTGCTGGAGCCTATCCCAGCTGTCTTCAGGCAGTAGGTAGGGGACACCCTGAACTGGTTGCCAGCCAATAGCATTCTTGGAAAACACTGTTTTACAAAGACGATTTTTGTTGACTTTGGCCAATTGGTGTAATAACTCTGGGCTGATGACCAGTCAATCACAGGGTGACTGTGAAATAACCTACCATGAAAGGAAGCCATAGAATGCTGAGAACATGCAAACTCCACAAGTCATATTAAATACATTTCTGTTGGCCAAAGCCATTGCGACAAAAACACACTCAAGGTAGCCTATAATATGTAGCATGTTTTCTTCAAGATGCCTGACTCAGTAGTTATCAAACATCACTCCGGTCCATCACATTTAGTCTTGCTCCACAATAAAATTTTCCTTTCAGCCCCTAAACGTCAATGAATGGACACAGGCTATCAATCATCCGCCAACTGACTGGTGATTGGCCCAGTGTGCAGTCCAAATCCATGTTTTGTTATAAACTATACCTGAAACATGAATAGTAGTTAAAAACAGTCTCACCTGCAAAGTTCCTGGTGAAGACAAGGGTGACCAGCAGGATGGGGATGATCACTGTCCCTATCGTAACAACACGATCAAAGGGCAGCTCCAGTTTGAGCTGCACCATTAAACTGGCCAATGCACCGCCCCTCTCATCTTGCGACGAGCCCGGCAGGATGAGCTCCTTCAGCTTCTCACCAGCTAGTAGAGCTGTAGCCATGTCTAAGTTTTGGTCAAGGATGTTCTGCATCTGGGAACGAAATGAGACACACTACAAGCCCGTCTTGGTTCGAGGGGCGACCACACTCTTGCGTGTGAACTTAAATAACGCACTCTGGTGCACACCCGCACAACAATCTGTGGGCAACTTGAGCCTCTGTAGCCATAGATGGCAAAGGGTCAGGTCCCGTTGTGTGCTTCTTGCTTTAACTCAAAATGTTTGCTATTTCTCAAAGCAGTTCCATGTTAAAGTCAATGCTCAGGAGCAGATTGTTTTCTCTGCCTTTTCAGCTTCCATCTCTTCATTTTGTTATAGCGCTACAGCCCTTGCTTCAGTTCCCATGCAATGTGAGAGTAGTCTTAATTTAGGATGTGGCCATGAGATCCTGAGGGAACAGGTAAAAAGATGCCTTCCTCGCCACCTTCCTGAAAGACAACAAGAAAATGAAACAAGCAAGGATTTTTTTCACGTGAGCGTCAAATTACAGAAAAAGCCGAATAACAGAGCTAACATCTCACAAATACGTCATTAAGAACCTCCACAGGAAATATTGCTGATCCTATCAAATGTCCTTATCATGTATCCAGTTGGCAAAGGACTGCTTTATCATACTCTTACCAAAGCAGTATAAGAACGCATGTACAGTATGCTTACATATATCATCTGGAATGGAGAACAAGCCAAAAATCACAGTTAGCATACAGTTTCGCAGTATTTTTAGCATTTAGGATGAGTTGAGTCTTTCTGAGCATGTGCATTCATGCTTGCATGATTTTCATGAATTTTTGAAACTGCTGCAGACTCTGGAAGGTTGTGTGAATGTCCTTTGTATGGCAGCCCGTCCTTGTCAACCTTTCCTACTCTCTCACTTTCCTCCTTTTCTTCAAATGAGCTCATGTTTGAAGCCAGTTTGTCTTTGCAGGAGTAGAAATTGCCTTTAATGGCTCAGAGATGAGACACGTGTACACTTTGCCAACATAACTTTGTCCACACCCTAAATGCTATGTAACGTTAAAGCAGCCAAGTAGTAACTTTATTTCATTGCAATTTAAAGGGGTAGCATCACATTTTAATCACTTGTGTCTCAGAGCCATTTGGCATTGCTCCAGTCCGGTTTGACGGATTATGTCCCACAGTTGGATGAAGCGCTTCTCATGTTAAAAGGGAAATGGAAATCCCTTACTAGTAACTATCCTCCTACTTCACTCACACAACAAGCAAATCCTTTCAATCAGCAGAGTGCGACAATGGGCGAAGGAGGAGGAACTTCGAGTTTGTCCTCAGGGTTACACCGAAGAACCACAACGGCATGTGGGTATAAACAGAGGTGAAGAAGCACTCTTGCGACATTTACGGTAATTGGCTAAGCATCATGATGCCCTGTTAGCTGACTTGGATGCGTCTCAGTGCGTGTCAGGTCCACGAGAAATGCATATATAGTGATGCAGCAAAACATAAAAGTGCATCAACTAACTGTGTGTGCGTGTTCGCTTGTGCGCGAACGTGTGCGTGAGCGTGTGTGTGTGTGTGTCATCTCTTTGTGTGTGAGCCTGAGCGGCGCTGCTTCCGCGCTCACGCGCTCTCTAAAAATGCTCCACACATGATGCGACATTAATGCACTTTGCGTCCATTGTACACATGTCGGTACATGAAGAGTGAAGAGCAAATAGATAAAATTCACCTACCTTGTCTGGAAGCATCTCTCGGCAGACTAAGAGTTAATAATCTGCAGTGCGGGCGAGCAGTTTACAGCATGTAGCCGCGCACACCGGTTTGTTCCGCCTTTACCGACCCCCCC